TCTTCCATCAAATTTGAGAAATTTTTAGCCACTATTTATTCAAAATTTTTTTGTTCCTATTTTCTCTCCTTGCCTCCTGTAACTCCAGTTTTATATATATTAGACCTATTGATATTTAGCGACAGTCTATTATTTTTCAATTCTTATACTCCCTGTTGTTGAGACTGAGTAATTTTTATTGATCTGTTATGTTCACTAACTCTTTGCTTCTGTCACCCTCATTCTGCTTTTAATCCTGTCCAGTTAATTTTATAATTTCAGATAATATATTTTTTAGTTCTAGAACTTCTTAATGGTCCTTTTTAATATTTCCTGGTTCTCTGCTGAGATTTCCTGTCTTGTCATTCATTTAAGCATATTTTCATTTATACTTTGAATATAATTTTAATTGCTCCTTTAAAATTTTTGTCTGCTAATTCTAACATTTGAGTCACTTTGGGATTGGTGTCTGTTTCTTGTCTTTTTCTTGAAAATGGGTCACATTTTCCTTTTTGTTTATGAAGTAGTTTTGGATTGTATCCTAGTTATGTTGTTGAGGCTCTGGATTTTGTTTTATTCTTCTGAAAAGTGTTGATTTTTATTTGTTTGTTTTAGCAGGTAATTAATGGTTGGGCTGAAACTGCAAACTCTTTCTTGGGGTACCCTCAAATATTCATTTATTTTACCCTTAGCTGGTATTTTTGGAGTTTGCTCTGCACATGTGTGGTTCACAAGTCAGCTGTAGATTTGAATGGAATATATACAAATTATTTAGAACTATTCCTTTTTGACTTTATCCTTTCCAGGATTCTTTCACTTTCTACTTGCTTTGATTACCTGGCATCCAGAATGAAGAGTTTTTATCAGAGCTTTAGTTGCTTTTTATGTTGTGATTGGGGCCTTCCCTCAGGCTAAAAACTGCAACAAACAGGTAAACGAACTCACCGAGTACCATTTCTTCTTCTAAATGTTGATTCCCTTCCAGAATCAACCCGCTTTTAGTCATTTTCCAGTGCTTTCAGATATTTATTTATTATATTTTTGTTTAAGTTGTTCTAAGCAGAAGAATTGGTCTGATAAGAGATTACTCAGTCATTATTGGAAATATTGTGGCAAATATGGTGTGGTAAAGTATAATCTTAATGGTTATCTCATTATTTAAAAGTATCCAGAAAAGGAAGAAAGTATGATGTGTATAATGCATGCACGTGCACACACACACAGCAAAGAAAAGAACTGATGGCTTTTTTTTTTTAACTCCATAGTCTAATTAAAACATTAGAGTAGAACACATTTCTAATGTAAGTGTGGGTCGTGTACAATGTGTCAAAAGAAAATTGTTAAAGTCAAGATACATATGTAGGGAAATAAAGCTTCTGGGATTTATTGTGACTGTTTCCAGGGATGTTATATTAGCAGCAATTGCATTTTAAAACCTGTATAGATTGCTGAAACCTTGGACTTAGTTTCAAGTTATGTTGTATATTGTACAGCTAATTTTTTTTTACTTCTGATATGTTTTGTTTTGATTCAGTTGATATAATAAAAAATAATTTCTGATTTAAGACATTTTGATGGACACTTTCCAATAAAATTTCCACTTTCTAGGAAATGTTTCTTTCATGATTCCTCTTACAACTCTTTAGGTTCTTTGTGAAGCAGGAGGCAGAATCTGTGCTTTGATTTTACTTTCATCTGTGTGCCAGTGGTTTTCCTCCCTGCTCTAACTCCTTTATTTTGTATTTTTTTCTCTTGACATTTTTTTCATTGCCTTTAATTTTTAATCTTTATGTATAGTAGGAAAGAAAGATTAGGAATATTGATTACATTATTTGATTTTTTTTCTCTTTACTACTACACATTTTCCACTTGCCTATCCATTATCCTTTCTTCTTAGGCATTGTAGAATATTTTTAGTATTTTGCTCAACGTGTTGGGAATTTGAAGAAGTAAAAGCAAGGACTCTGTATACTCTCATTCTATTGGGAAGGTCCTGCTTGTTGAATTTTTAGGTATTTCAAGATGTTCCAGTCAACTGACAAGGACTTCTCCTCACAGTGTCAGAACTGTAGTGATGATGAGAGTAATGCAACTAACAAATAGTTCTGGTATGTAACCACTTTTGCATGTTTACTTCACCAGAAAATTCTCTGGAATATAGTGGTGTCCTGTATTCCTAGTTAGAAATTTAGAGAATCATTTGCATGCTTTCAAAGTAGATTTTGAGTTAATGGTGCTAATCAAAGAATGGAGAGTATTTTAATCAGATGTGAAATTCTGCAAAGATTAGTATATCTTCATTTCTTAACGCCTCTAAAAAAGGAAAAACAAAACTTAAACCTGCGTTCTTAGACCTTTCTGAATACCATGATAGTTGATTAAACTCTAGGTTTTAGTATATTTCTTATTATAAAGCCATTATGGTACTATGTGCTTTTTAAGTAAAATACCAGTCACAAATACGGACCATATTCCTTTTTATATAGATTATCAATGGAGATTTATTTGCTTTCATACTAAATTCTTTAGTTCTTGTGTTGTCATAAATTATAAATAAATATTTTAGAAGATGTGTATCCAGTTTGTAATGTGTTTCCTTGGACAATCTGTTTGTACTAAATCTTTAGAGTAGAGTGATCCATTATATGAGTTCTTCTCTATATGTCATCAATTAATTCTGTTGGATTGGTTGATGATAAAGAAGGTAGAATTCTCTACCTCTTTACCACGGTTTACTCTTGTACTTATACAAATGGTGAGATGGTTACTTTTATAAGATTAGATAGGTTGCTTCTTATAATAATTATTAATTTTTAGATATAATGATGACATTAAAGGTGCTTACTCTGCTTTATACTTGAGAAAACTTTGTATGTTTATGACATGTATTATAAATAGTATATTGTTACTTGTGATTTTGAATAATATCCTACTTTTTTTGTTGTTGTTTTATTGTGTAGAATATTATCCAGGAGTATAGATTTCAAAAAAATTTCAGTATGTTATCAATGGAGATTAAGGAGCAGAACACAATCTAGTGAAGTCACTGTAATTAATAGTTGCTTTAAAAATGTTTTTTCCTCTTTTTAAAGGATATTTAGGTCTATTTGAATATTCTTTTTTTCCACTATCAATGATGTTTGTTTGTGTACATATATTTCTTAAGTCATCTAGGGTTGCCATCTTAAATAAGAGTATCTATATTTCTGAAGTGTTCCTCTACTGTAATTAATGCAAACAGGCTCATTATATAGATGTAAGAACTTTTAAAAAAAATGAAAAACAAAAAACAAATGATTTACCCAGGGCTACAGAGTCCATGGTAGGCTTGTAACTAAGCTCAGTTTTGTTTGCTTGCCTTGTAATTTAATTCATACCAATTAATATTTTCTGTATGGATAACTGGTCCATTAACCTAAAGAGAATTTATGAATAAACTGTGATATTCTCCTTTGTAAATCTGCTGGTATTTTCTTCATTGCAAAATCTTGCTATAGTAACTAATTCTTGCCCCACACCCTTTTTTTCCCCCTTTAGAAAAATTGGAAGCTCTACCACCTACCCCAGGACAGCTGAGATATGGTAATGGTATAATTGTTAAATATATGTGCATTTGTCTTTGACTTGAAATAACTGTGTCATTCATTGATAGCACAGAAGAGTCAACAATTAAATCTTTCCAGATAGAGTGGATTATCCTGTTCATTATGTTGAAGCACAAAGTTTGATAAACTTGGCTTAAGATATAACACAAAGTTATAGAATATCTAATATTGTTAAAATATTACCATTTAGAAATAGAATTATACTTATGATAGAAGTTTTCTTAATTCCCAGAGAAAAGGATGTATTTAGTTTCAAATTTAAGTTGGATAACTGCAGAATTAGAATTTCTAGGCTCAAGGTTAGGTTGAACTGTTCTCTGGTCGAGAGAACTTCTAGCTGGCTGTTTGTAAGAATGAAAAAAGTAAAGTTCATTTAAAACCACCAGGAAGAAGAACCTTATACAGTGCTGCTGGAGCCTTTTCTTTTATCTATTATGATGGGAATAAATATTCAAGGACTAACACTGGAATGATATAAAACAATTTGGGATCTTATTATAAAGACAATGGAGGAAGAGAATTACTTAACAGTGTAGTGAATTTGAATAGGTTGGAAATTAAAGGTAAATATTAAATGTGATTTGCTGACAACTACCGAGTTATAAAATAGTGTTTTCCAAAGGAAATTGAAGAAATCACGAATTAGCAGGAGATCATTACCTACTGGAGAGCAAATTTCTGCAATTTAAAAAAACTATTTAGTAGCCAGTTCTTTTTTCTCTCACAGGTAGAATGCAATTTATATTAGAAATTAGTAACTTTCCTCATAGGAAAACAATTTAAGAATTCTTTAAAACTCCTTTTCCCAAGTAATCTTTCCTGATTCTCCCAGTTTAGATTTTTACAATCTATATCCATAACACTATATAATACTATTATCATTTTTTATAAGTCATATTGAAATTAGCTATTTATAGGGCCGTGTTATCATACCTAACACTCCTTGAGGGCTGGGAACCAAGTTTATCTTCGTATCTTAAATGCCCATTGGAGTGCCCAGTACACATATTTACTTTAACTTTTTGAAAAATTATTTTGTTTTCCTTTGGATTAAAATAAATATTTATTTTAGATATAAACATTAAAAACATATAAGTATATCTTATATAGTCCAAAGTGATTATTGTAGCAGTGTGCCATTTTTACTGACCAAGTTTTCACTAGGATAGCTATTAGTGTAATCTTAATTTTGTGGCCCAAACACCTAATTTTAAGATATTTGTAACCAGCCAATTTTAGAGATGCCATCAAATAAACTCCAAAATACTAAGTGATTCCAACTGGTTTCTTTGTTACTTTGCCATCCTTAATTTAAATAGCTTTCTCTTCAATATTTCATTTAGTGAATTTTAAAAATTTCATTATACTCTTTTAACCTATTAAATTTGTATTTTGTATAGGTTTTAAAATCTGCTTCTTATAAAATTTTTAATGTTCAGTTAGGCAATAAGTCAAACAACTAAGGGTAGACTCTTTAAATGAAAAATCCAATTTCATTAATGTGCTATTTGATTTTTATCATCTTTAATAGCTTTTAAAATAATATTCTTTGTAATTAAAGATGTTGCCCTTGATCTTGGACATTCTTACTTAAAAACAAGAAAGAATCTGAAATGACCTATTATATACGTATTATGTACTGTTTTATGTAATATTGTATAATTATAATAATATGACATATAATAGTATATATTGTTGTATTATATATACTATTAATATTTTCCCATGATCTTAGTCTTTGATAGTGGTTGTGGGTAAAAGTGCTTTTTCTTTTAACTATTTATTAGCCTTCCCTGATTGGTATAAAACTCAATATAGTAATATCAAACTTTTATAACTTCTGGATTATATTAATTATGCTCTTTATGGACTTAACTGCGTTAAGAGAAAAAAGACTCTAAAATCAGTGAACACGTATAATAACCAATTGGTTTTAAGGGACTATATTTTGGATATAGTATAAAACTCAGGATTTTAATGTTTGTTGAAAAAAGTCCTCAGTTGAACTGATGTTGACTATACCTTGGCAATTTTATAAATTAATTAGAATAAAGTCTTCTACCTATTCCCAGCTTTTAATCTGTTTCACAGTCTGCCTTCAATTCTCTCAATCGGAAATTCTCTTCCTTTCCAGGTTAGTGGTCCTCAACTTAATTATTATTTGTTGAGCATCTACTATGCCCTAGGCATTCTCCTGAAAATGTAAATATGAAACAAATAAGGCTAAATGTATAAAAATTATATAGGTATTAGTTCTTCCTACTTACACTTCTAATAGATCATTCAGATTATGTACCAGCTAGATGAGATAAGGTGTGCCTTTGGTAGGAAGGGATGAAGTTACAGTTCACTTTAAATCAAATATGATCATTTATGTTTGCAGTAGCATTTAGGGATATTGATGAATTGTGAGGGGAAAAAGGCTGCACATAGATATCTAATATAGATCAGGTAATCACCTTTTTCTAACATTTCCTTAAAAAATTAATTAGTAAGTAAAAGCAACGAAATAGCTTCCTTGAAATTTGATTTAGTGCGTTTTTCATTATTTCTGATACAGAGATTAATTTTATGATATCAGTCTCTAGGCATAAGAGAAAAAGAGATTGATATCAGTAGCAATTAATCAGGTAAAATATGGTACTCCTATACATTTACTAATTTGTTCTGCTGTTAACTGTATACATATTTGTGTGTGTGTTGCCAGTAAGAAAACACAAGAGCCTAACACAATTATTTTTAAATGTTATGTATTTTTTAATTTGTTTTGTTTTTCCCAGTATAGCTTCTGCCAGTTAAACTTATAGCAGTAGCAGGATCTGTTGGCTCTGGGAAATGAAAAGCAAATTTTAAAGCTTTGATTTATGGAGACTTTAATTATATGGTCTATATTTGTCATTCTAAGTTATGGAAATCCTAAAATAGATTTTTCTGTTTTTGATGTTTTTCAGTATTCATCCACAATGCGATACCTTTCATAGGGTTTGGCTTTTTGGATAATGCAATTATGATTGTTGCAGTAAGTTCTTTCTCTCACTGCTTCTATTTTGAGTTAATGAAGAAATTAATGTAGTCTACATTTTCCTAATAAATTGCATATTGTAACTATAAAGTTTTAATTAATGAACAAAGCTATTTTATTATATTTCAAGTTAATTATTAATAGATTATAGCTCAATTTTAAGGCATTGTATATATTAATCACTAACATTTTTGGTAAAGCATTTAGACAGTCTTGGTAAAAGCATTTAGACCAAACATTTAGGATCTATATTATGCTATTCTAGTTTCAACATTCTTATTAAAGAAAAAAGTATGTAAAATTTTCTGATGTTCTTTAATTGTCTTGGAAATTATCATATATAGATTATTTGATTAGTTCCTTGTTCAATTTTCCAATGTAAAAATGTTTTAAAGGGTGTTTTGATACAGTCTACACTTCAGTCTAGACATCTAACCCAACAATGTCTTAAGTTTCAGTTGAGAACACTGAATTTATTCCATTTTTGCCTTTGTTCCATTGTGGTGTTAAGAAAAAAAAAAGTTCCCCTTCGCTGTGGTCATTTTAATGTAGGAATGCTCCTTAAAAATGTTGTTTAATCTCAAGGATGGCCGATTTACGTGTCTTACTATCATATAACACCTTTTGTTAATGGATACCAATATTGGGTCCATGTTCTGAGGTCTAATAGATCCATGATTAAAATGCAATTCTTCTAAAACTGCCCAGTGCTCTACCCACTTTCAAGAACACATCGTGTTTTAACTACAGTTTATAAATTTATAATAATTGGGTTTTCATTGCAATTAGATTTCATTTACACTAACGATTTAAATAATCTAGCCAACTCAGATTTTAGTAGTTTCAGAAAAGGCAGTGGGATTCTAAATAAGTTGAATACGTTTCTCACATTCACAGATAAATAAATCGGATAGTTTTATTCTTATATGCATATTAGAAAAATGCTATAATCAGTCAAAAAGCTATCTACTCTCTTATTTTGTCCAAGTAAAATGAGTTGATCATAATCCAGTTAAGAAGGCAATTATCAGAGTGTGATGCGCACCATCCGAGGGATGGACACACTTGAAGCTCGGACTTGGGGGTGGAGGGAGGGCAAGGGCAACATACGTAACCTAAACATCTGTACCCCCATAATATGCTAAAATAAAAAAAAACGAAGGCAATTATCAACTTTCAATACATATTTTTAGAGTACTTGATGTGAAGTTACTCTTTTCAGATATTAGTAAGTGGATTGAAAGGCTATTTACTTATATTCTGGGAGGAGAAAAATATATCAAATACTTTGGACACAAATTTATGAGTTCTCAGGTGGGGGTCTTTATTTAAACTCATTTGAGAAAATCGCAATGCTTCATAACTAGAAACTTACTCTGAGTTAGAACTCAGAGTTTGTTGTCAGCTTCACTGAGTCTAACTTTTTAAAAAGTTCTATAAATGATAGCTATAGTATAGGAGACTGCTCCAAAAAAAGCCCTGAATGATCTTGGGATTATTGAATGTGAGAAAAATATATATGAGAGAATCAAGCTTTTTTTTTTTTTTTTTGGTGTTTTGAAGATCATATGTACTATAAATCAACAAATAGAAGATTTGGTTTCAAAATAGGGATAAAAAAGTAATTTACATTGTATAGGTTATAAAATTTACTTAAGGAATATCTAAAATCGGTTCATTCAAGAATGGTTTTGTTTGCTGTATAGTCTAGCCATATGTCTGAATTGACAAGGATCAGATATCCAGAAAGTCCGGTCATTTTCCTGGTTGAGAAAATGTGCAGGATTCACACAGCGGAAAGGTACTCTCCTGTGTGAACAGTCACAGAAGATACTCTAGCGTGCGCACACGCAACTTGAAGGTGATAAGCACTATTGCAGAATTCTTTTGTGGAGTAGTCTGGAAAGACCAGATTTCTAAAGGCTGACACAAATTAAATGAATGGCCCTAAAATATAATTTCAGAATGCTAGTTTTTGACTGATTATGGTATTTTTCTAATATGCATATAACAATAAAATTGTCCAATTTGTATATCTGCGAGTGTAAGAAACTTATTCAACTATTTAGAACCACACTGTCTTTTCTGAAACTATTAAAATCCGAGTTGGCTAGATTATTTAAATAGTTAATGTAAACCAGATCTAATTGTAATGAAAACCCCATTATGATTAATTTATAAGCTATGGTTAAGACTTGATATGTTCTTGAATAGATTTCCCGAATTAAAGCTTCTCTGTGAGAAATATTTCTTCCAATTTTACACAGTTTCACTCAACATGTTAGATTCTCTTTATTGATAGCATCTACGTATACTACTGTCTTAATAACCATTTATTTTCACCTCAATAGGGCAGACCTTAGATATTCAAATACTGAAACATTATCCTTTGCTACAGAGAAGTGTTTAGATGATATATTTTGCAAAAAGAAGGGTATACGGAGAATTTGAAGAGAGATCAGAGTAGAGAAACTGGATAGCTTCTTAGATCCTTCAAAAGACCTTCACAGTATGGTCTTTCTATTTCTTTGAAGTAAATACCTAAAGTAACGTATCTGTGTTTAAATGTAGCTACCAAACCACACCAAACACCCATATTCTAGATTCAAATTTTTGTGTTACCCAGCTCTGTGCCTCATTATTAGTATAACTGAGTGTGCACTGTTTTTGTGGGCCTGAGATGGTTAACTCCGTCTTAGGAGTTAGTAATACTTTTTATTGATGATACTTGTTATTCTGTTTATATTGAAATCCAGTTTCAAGGACTTATCACCGGTTTTTATTTATATAATATTGAAATAAATGTTCAAACCACTGACTTCAATAACCTGATTAGGAGTAACAAGTATGGCAAAAATATTTTCCTGTGATAAATGCACACTAATTCAGAGACAGTGAAATTTTCCAGTGAGAGTTTATAATAGACTGCCGAGACTAAACCACATAAATAATATAACTGTAGAATCTATGGAAAGGGAAATAAGTGACTATTATTTTAAGAATGTTTTTCACCTTTTAATTTTTTTTAAAATACCGATTGCTTCCTCACATTGTGGGACAGCTAGGACTGTTTTAAGATAGTAAGTTAAGGAGATAGTTGATTCTTCTTTTCTCTTGTGCCATAGACATTTGGTGTTTTCCTCCTTCCTGTTAAGTGTGCTCTCCTGGCTACTACCCTAGTTGTAGTCACAAAAACAAATTCCTGTGTAACTACTTATAGTAGATTTGACCTTTATGTTGGCTGCTATTCATACTAAGCCTTTGGTTTCATAATTTTGATTATATTTTTATATTATTGGTTTGCTTTTTATAACTTATATTTTAGTGGTTTTGGATTACTTTTCTTACAATTTAATTAGGATAGAATTTATTAGAATTCTAGAGTAGATTAATTGTGTCAAGATGATGAACCTGGTATAACTTCAAGACAACTAGTATTAGATTTATTTATAACTTCTACCTTGCCTGTGAACACAAAATTTGATGTAACTGTGTGACATAGTAAAGAAGTGGATAGTCCATTGTCCTCAAACCATTTTTGACCTAATATGGGACTTTTTATGCTGTTATAAGGACCTTGAAGTATCTTAAATTTAACCAAATGATTAAGTACTTAAATACTTTTTAAGTACATGTATTGCAAAGAGATTCTTCTTGGGTCATTGCCAATGATTTGTTGCTGTTAAAGATGCCATATTTATTTATTATATTAATAGACTGTAGCTATCAGGTACCTCTCTTCTATATTGGTGCTTCAGTTTTTTTTTTGCATTCATATATAAAGGTACACATCTCTTCATTCTTTTTCTCGTGCCTGTTTTTCTTCTTCTTTCTTTTTCTTCTTCTAAAATCTATCTTTTGGAATACATTTACAACCTTGTTTTTAATTTTTATACATCAGAACAAAGGACTTTTGGACTTTTGTGCATCAGGCTCTTTGGTCCATATCCAACAAGAATTATATCTTAAAGGGATGGAACCAAAAGTCCTCGGGGAAAGAAAATTGAGGAAACTTTAATCTAGCTTCTTTTCAATTTTGTAAATAATTGATGAATAATGCAATATTTCTACATAACAGGACATTCTTTTTTTTCCTCCACAACTATCATTGAGATTTGAAGATTTTTTAGAAATTTTTAAAGCATCATTATTCAAGAGAGCTCTTGAAAATTAAATATACTTATGACAGCATTGCTCAGGAATTAGAACTGAATTAACACAATAGATCCTATTCTATGTAGTAACCTGTTAAAATAGTTTAATCTTCAGTTCCTTATCTTTGAAGTGGAAGTAAAAATGTGAACCCCCTTTCTTCAGAGGAATTATGATATAGATATAGACACCTTAAACTCTCTCAATAAATAAATTCAGTGGAAATACAGTGGAGCCTCATTTTTACTATAGATCTATTGTACTAAATGCTTTTGCTACTTATAAATCAATCATACAGTTTCACTACTTATTTAATGGCTAAAGAACTAAGTGTTATATGGATAATTTGACAAACCCCAGTTTCCCTAGAAATTGGTTTAGTCTGTCTTTTTAATCTTTTGATAGAGTAAATAACAATAATATAGATGTATCATTCAGAATTTAAAATTGTGGGAGTTAATCTTTGTGTTCAGAGAGCTTTATGCATCTTTCTCTGTGGTGGGAAAATAGAAACTCTAGACTCTTGATGAATTGTATTTCTATATGTATTGCTATTTTTATTTTTATAAAAGCCTAATTTATTTATTTTATTTTATTTTATTTTATTTTTTTCTTTTATTTCAGCATATTATGGGGG